GATGTCTGGACTTCAACTCCCAGAATTCCCCAGCCAGGGGAATTCTGGGAGTTGAAGTCCAGACATCTTCAAGTTGCCAAGGTTGAGAAACACTGCATTAAACTTTGTGTCGCCCGGGTATCCGTATTTTGGGCAAATATTTTATACAATAACAATTACAATTTACAGCCATATTTATTATTTTATCTATTTTTAACTTAATACTAATATATACCATACCTAATACTATAACAATCCTCTTCTTAACTTTATTTAACTTCGTTAAAACATTTTCGCTATTTCACTCCTCTGCTTCCCCCCCCACTTTTCATATTTATTCTCTAACCATTGATAAAATGATTCCCGTATGTTATAATAATCAGATAGTTCCTTCTCCTTAATTTCAAGCGTGAACCTATTCATTTCTGCACATTCTAATATTTTCCTAATCACATTCTCATCCATAGGGATATCTTCATTGTTTCCTTCACTTGCTCTTCTTCTAGTTTAATACGCAGTAAATAACTATAAAAAATTTTATCAACCTCTCATCAGTTCCTGTTAATATCTTATCCAATTCTGTCAGTTTTGTATAAAAAATATAGAGTTTTGGACGGTTTTCAGGCTGTTTTTGGCCTGAAATATCCGATCACCATCAATTCTTCAATGTCAGAGTTTTTAATTGAGAGAAATTTAATTTTCTCCCGGCAGTTGATGAAAAGAGTCAGCGAGACTTGTCCGGATATCACAAGGATATACAGCATCGGGAAAAGTTACTTGGGGTTGAAAATGTACGTCATGGAGATTTCAGACAACCCCGGGCAGCACGAAGTAGGTGAGTGGCATATCGGGATGCTCTCTACGTTTTGCAGGAAGAGAGTTTAATCGGAGTTTGGCTGCAGAGGATGGGAATCGTGGCTTGTATCCGTTGACAAGTAGTTTCTCTGCTGACTGGGTCCAAATCAGACTATCATGTTCAGGGGTCTCCAACCTTGGCAACTTTAAGACTTGTGGACTTCAGCTCCCAAGAATTGAACTCTGGGAGTTGAAGTCCACAAGTCTTAAAGTGACTTCAACTCCCAGAATTCCCCAGCCAGCCTTGCAATCTAGTTTATCCGGAGTTTTTCAACTTGGGCTAGTTGATTAGACTTCAACTCCCAGAATCCCCCTCTTCTGACCGAGGCTTCTCCAGCAACACGAAGCCGAGTCCTCGTCCCGATAATCCCTTTTATTTAATTGACAGTGAATTCCTCTCTAGCAAAGTCTTTCCTCTCCCATAGTCTCCCAAGAGAGGTCACAACTACTGAACTTGGAGAGTGGCCAGTGGGTAGCTTTCAGATGCCACAATACTTGGCAAGAATGCAGGAATGAACTAAGTGTCTCCTGCAAGCTCCACTCCCTTTTCGCTCCTCTTTTATTTCCTCTGGGAGGGGCCATTCANTCCGCAGTTCACTTAGCGATCATTCCAGATTGCAACATCACTGGAAAAAGTGTTGTGGTTTACCCTTAAGCCACCGTGGGTTAGCCTTAAAAGATCGGTTGGGCAGCGAAAGCCGCAGGACTTAAAATTTGGCCGGCGTGCCAGCATTCTGGTTCTTCCCCCCACCCCTTCTCCACCCCTCCCGGTGTGATCTTTTTCGGCGCCCAACATTTTCTTCTACCCGTCCCCTTGCCAACGTTTCCTGTTTTAAACCCAACCCTGAAACTGAGCTGCCCCTTGGCACCACGGAGCTGACCACAACCTCCAAATCAAAGGATGAGCCAACCAGAGATGCCGAAGAGCGATTGGTAGCCCCTCTGTCCTTTGCCGAAGGAAAAGGACATGGTGTGGGGGGGGAGGACATTGTGCCAGATCAGCAGATCGCAGAGATTTGTGGGAGGGGGCAGCCGGTCTCTGCTGGTGAACCCCCACAGCCAAATGAGCAGAAAACCCGATATCTTTCGCTCTGGCTTTGCTCATTGCAGATCTTCCCAGCTAACAAAGAAGTGGAAACGCCCGTCCTCAATTTGCTGCCCGAGCCGGTCGTGGCCCGCTACATCCGGATCAATCCTCAAACCTGGTTCGAGAACGGGACGATCTGCTTGAGAGCTGAGATCCTGGGATGTGCCCTGCCAGGTAGGCGCATGGTGTTGTGGCCTGTCAGCCACGGGGCCCTCCAGCAGCTGAATCAGATAGGTGTGTGGCCTGTCAGCCACGGGGCCCGTCAGCCACGGGGCCCTCCAGCAGCCGAATCAGAGGAGGAGGAGGAGGCATGGGAGTCAAAGTCAGCATCAAGGCTACCTGAGAACTTCGAGGTGGAAGAGGAAATGGAGATGTCAGAGAGGGGGGGAGGGGAGGGGAGGGGAGGAGGGGAGGCTGGGCTGTCCATCAGCCCTCAGATGGAGAGTCAACAGCCCCCAGGTCTGGAGGTGGCTGATGAGGAAGAGGAGGAACAGCTGGGTCGCAAAGCCCGCGGGG